ACCTGGATGATCTAGGATTAGCTTATATATAAAGTTAAAAGCCAAGGGATACCCTATTATTATTCTCCTTTAGTGAATAGAATTTCATGTTGTTGAAAGATCATAAAAATCAATCAAGCATGTCGACGGAGACGCATCTTTTTCGTAGCACAGTGCTTATTACTACGGAAAGTCGAGAAACAGTCGTACCCGAAACTACTGTAATCCAAATCAGTATGGACGACGGGTTTCCGATCAGCTTGAAGCTCTTCAACCATGTCAGAGGAAGCTCCGGCTATCCAGACCTCCTAACCGAAAGAGGAGTTACGGTCCCTCTCTCTCGTCTAAAGCCATCAGCCGAAGGCAACAGCAGGAGAACCCGGAGTCGGTATAGAAAGGTTCTGGCCGCCAACCTTATCAGGATGGGTGTCCCAGAAGATGAACATCGGGGTATTATTTGGAAAATATTTCAGGCCGTTGATGACGTGGCCATCCACGGAAGCAGCCGGGAGGGGTTGCCTACAGTTACTATCCTCATGGTCATGGAGGAGGTGACTCTGGATAATAATAATAATTACATACCCCCATCGTTAGGTTTTCCAACAAGTGTTGAGGAACCATTATATTACAAGCTGATTGGATTATTCTATTGTCCTAAATTTCCTTTTCATAAACCTCGTTCGAGGGTGTGGAGGGTTTGGACAGAGTGATGGTTAGGTTGGAAGAAGTGGTTAGATGTAGGGCATGTCTAATTTGTGGCGAGGCCCTTGATCCTCCTCCTCCTCCTCCTCTTGGAGAAGAAGAAGAAGCTCATCGTCAACATCAACAAAAAGAAGGGGTGCCCAAGAAGATTAGTATGATTTCTCGCTTGCCTTGCTCGCATCTTTTTCATCAAGATTGCATTGTGCGGCTGTGGCTGCGTAGTAGTAGGAGCAGTCGCGGCGGAGGTTGTCCCCTGTGCCAATTGACAATGCTCGTTAAGGGCACAAAGGACGTGCTCGCGAAATTTCAAACACACTCGAGATCGTGGGGGTTGCCGCTCACGATATTTACCGGCGGCATAATAACTGCCGGTACGCTTCTTTGCAAATTATTGAAGCATCGATCATCAAAAGGGAATTAAATTTGGTGTCTTGTAGTAGTTATTTTGAAGGTTTAATAATTCATAGTTTCCTGGAGTCAGTCTTTGAATTTACAAATTAATCGAATTGTTAATTTTAATAAATTAAATTAGCCTTACAATTAAGGAATTACTTGTTATAGTGCTCATGATTCTTTTCTTAGTTACTTGTTATGGTGCTCATGCTCATGCTCTGTTAGATAGTTAGGGGCTAACAATTGGGTTTTACAATTTTTTTTATTACTTTTTTTAGGAATGTATAATACATTTGATCTCAACACCAAGTTAATAGCGGATTATAAACCATCCAATACACATGTTACATGTGGAAATATTGTTCAATATATAGGTTATAAAAATAAAATATTTTCACATATATCGTATGTGTACTGGATAGTACACTAACCACGTGGTGCATCCAGAACATACAAAAATTTCTCCAGTAGTAGTTGGTACGGTGCTTTCGTTTTATTCTGTTGTTCTTATACTTGTTGGCTTTGCTGGTGACACTATAATTTTAAAATCATGTTTAGAGATCTCTAATTTAAATTCTGATATTATAAATAAAAAATAAATTAAGATGTGGAGTTGATCTGAAACTCAAAAACTGGGATTTGGGTTAGCCCAAAATAGTCCCACGACCAATGTATTTAGGCCTCCAAAACTTCACCAAGCCCAATTCCAGGCGGATTGGAATTTAGCCCGAGTTTCCAGTCGGACCGCAACTGACATATACAATAGAATCGTTGCACTTGGGGGTCCCTTACCATTCCTACCGCCTCAAAACTTCTACTGTCAGCCTTAGCACGTGACACAAAAATGAACTTAAAAGTGAAGAAAATTTGGAAATAAGAGTTTAAATACAACTAAAAGAAAAATACGTGTTTTGATTTTGGATAGGAAAGAATCAAAACACGTATTCAAAAGGGAAACAAGAAAAATACTGCACTGCAATAGGGTCAAAATTTGGACCAAAAAAATTAAAAAAAGGGAAACCAAAAAAAAATAAAAAATTGTACTGAATTCAATTCCAGCTCGTCAGCACATTGATGCAAGCATGTGTTCGCTGAATTGGTTCGAGCAGCAAGAACGTCCTTTGGGCTGTATTTTTATTATTATTTTTCTTTATAAAAACATTTTAAAATATATATTAAAAAAAACCAACAGCAATATATATATATATATATATAATTATATATCATCACGCTTTCTTGAACACCAAAAAGGAAAAAAAAGTTAATCATCATCATTCATCAATCTCTTGTTTGAGAACAATCAGTATAAAACCAAAATAACAGAATAATAAAAACCAACGAATATATTTTATATAGATATAATTGAATCAATACAACGATAATATAGATTGTAGAATACTGACTTGAATTGTAGATAGAGTCTTGCAGATTTGCAGTGTCTTTTAGACAGTATTTCTCCCCTACCCTTATGCTTGTAGTTCGATAGGAGTCTGTCCACCAGTTCTTAAATCAAAGCCTAAGCACTAGTGGCTTGATTTCTGGCGAACAGTGGTATGAATTCTCTCAAGAAGTGTAAAATGTGAGAATGATGATGCAGTTCAAAGGTGTTCTTCTGGTTTGATCGTATTGTCATTATATAGAGGTCTGACACCTCTTCATCCAACAGTTATGTTAACTGTTTTAATTAATACAAAATTAGTGAAATACCCAATTCAAGACATGAAACTATAAATATACCCTACACTATTTAAAACATATAAACACACCCAAAATATACTCAAAACTGACAGCTGTTACATTTTTTAGTTTAATTACTTAAATAAAATACCTTTATTACCCATTTAGTATTAAATTAGTTTTTTTGAAAAATTTGGGCCCTCTCTCTCTCTCCTCTCTCTCTCTCTCTCTCTCTCGTCTCTCTCCCTTCGCAGAAACCAAGCCTAGGCCAACGCGCCCCGGCCCAAACCAGCAGGGAAGGCGATTGGAAAAGGATCTGCTAGGGCCGACGATCAAGTCTGCTAAAGCCCAGCCACATCAGCCATTGACGACGCCGCTGCGAACTCAAAAAGGTCTGTGGATTTCAAGTTTTCCGACGTCGTTTCCGGCGACTCCGGCTGTTGTTTCCGTCAATCGATGTATGAAACTTTATCTAATTTTCGTGCTCAAGCTGTTTATGTATGTGGTTAGGATAGATTTTGGAGTTTTGGAAATTAATAAATACACCCTAGTTTGACCGACGACTTTGGCAGTGTTCCGGATTGCTCCGACCACTTTTTGGCTGGGGTCCAAGACAAAAAATTACTCCCCTTGTTAGTCT